TCTTGCATCTCCCCACCCCTTGTCCTATAACTAATCCCTCCCCCGTTTCTTATGGCAGCTGAAGCAGGCAAAAGCTGAGGCTGACATTTGGCCCCCCTTGCAGAAAAGACGTTATTCCTAAGTAAAAGGAAAGAAAAGAGAGAGAAACAGAATATATACAATAATTATGGTTTATCTGGGTATTTGGTATAGAATTGCTGTACTTTCTTGGGAGCTCGGACATCTCATTTATTCACCCATTCAGCCTGCGATAAAGGGAAATATTTCCAGGCAATCAGATATTGGACTTTACCATGGTGTTTTCTCGAGTCCAAAATTTCTTTAACTTCAAAATGTTGCTCCCCCTCTATGAGAATGGGAACTGGAGGGGTGCTTTGATCAGCCCTTAAAGGAGATGAGTGTTCAGGTTTCAATAAACTAACATGGAATACAGGATGTATTCGTCTCAAGGTTTTTAGCAATTCCAATTCAACTGTTACTGGATTAATCAATCTAATCACATGAAATGGTCCCACATACTTAGGCCCCAGCTTTTTGGACTTCTGGGTAGTCTGTAAGTATTTGGTAGACAAATAGACTTTATCACCCACTTTATACTTGTGAGCTGGGGACCTTTTCTTATCGGCTTGGGCCTTATGAGCCCGGTGTGCCTCATCCAATGCCTTCCGAGTCACTGCCCATGTGCTCTTTAGCTGTTCAATCCAATCCATCAAGGAAGGATTTTGAGGATCATCCTGTGGTAACTCGGGAATGGGTACAAAATCCTGGCCCGATGCGACCTTAAAAGGGGTGAATCCGGTGCTACTGTGTATAGAATTGTTATATGCCACTTCTGCAAATGGTAACAAGTCTACCCAATTGTCTTGCTGGTAATTTACGTAACACCTCAGGTATTGCTCGAGTATCCCATTGGTTCTTTCACAGGCCCCATTTGTCTGAGGGTGGTGACTGGAACTTAACCCCTGTGCTGAACCTATCAATTTCAAAAACTCCTTCCAGAAACTGGAAGTAAATTGCACCCCCCTGTCAGAAATTATTCTTTTCGGAGATCCATGTAGTCGGTAAATTTGCCTAATAAACAATTTTGCGAGGGTTTTTGCTGAAGGGATCTTTGAGCAAGGGATGAAATGTACTTGTTTGGAAAACAAATCAGTTACTACCCAAATGACAGTGCAGACCTCACTATCTGGTAAATCCACAATAAAATCCATAGATATTTCCTTCCATGGGGCATTCGGTCTAGCCACACTTTGCAACAATCCAGGGGATTTTCCTGGAGGTCTCTTAGTCGAAGCACATACTGGACAGCTAGCCACATATGCCTCTATGTCCTTTTTTTGTGCAGGCCACCAAAATTGTCTCTTAACAAGATGCAGAGTCTTGACAAACGCAAAGTGTCCTGCGGCCTTAGCATCATGAGCATATGCTAATACGATTGTCCTTAAAGTTGCTGGAACATACAATTTCGATCCAACCCAAGCTAGTCCATCACGAAGTGTGCATTCATTCGAGTGATTCTTAAACCACTTGTCGGTTTTTAGAGCTTCTCGCAATTTTTCAAGTAAATCCCCCGAGAGTTCTGGTTCGGCTTTACGCTGAGCTCTGGTAGTGACAGGTGTTGCTAATTGTGTCAATGGGATCATTGGTTGAACCACCTCCTTCTTGATGCTGTTGTACTGTGGCAATCTGGAAAGTGTGTCCGCCATGAAATTTTTCCCACCAGGAAGGTACCGTAAAGTGAAATTGAAACGCTTGAAGTGTTGGGCCCAGCGAGCCTGTTTTGGTGATAGTTTGCGTGGTGTTTTTAATGCTTCTAGATTCTTATGATCAGTCCACACCTCGAAAGGGTGTTTTGCCCCTTCTAAAAATTGTCTCCATGTTAACAGCGCCCATCTAACTGCAAACGCTTCTTTCTCCCATATGGCCCATCTCCTTTCCGTGTCTGAAAGTTTACGGGACGTGTAAGCACAGGGTTGTAATATCCCGTTTCATTCTTTTGCAAGAGTATTGCTCCTACAGCGACGTCGCTAGCATCAGCTTGTACTACAAAAGGTTGTTCCATGTCGGGGTGTTTGAGCACCGGTTCAGCTGCAAACAGTCGTTTCAGTTTCTCGAAAGCAGCTTGACAGTTCATAGTCCAATCTAGTGGTTTCGAGGGTTTGGGTTTTACTTCCACTTTGGTTTTTAGCAAGTCTGTAATTGGCAGCGCGATTTTCGCGAAAGAGGGGATAAATTGTCTATAAAAATTTGCAAACCCTAAGAAACTCTGTAACTGTTTACGGGTGCGTGGTGCGTCCCATTCCATCACTGCCCAGACCTTTTCCGGGTCCATCTCTATTCCCTCATGCGATATACGATATCCAAGATAGTCGATTTTGTCTTGGTGGAACTCACATTTAGAAAGTTTGGCATAGAGTTCAGCTGCTCTGAGTTTATTCAAGACCGCTCGAACCAGTCTTACATGGTCGGCCATGTTGTCAGAATAAATTAGGATATCGTCCAAATAGACCAACACCCCCTTATATAGGTGCTCATGCAACACTTCATTGATCAACTGCATGAATACAGCCGGGGCCCCCTGTAGTCCAAAAGGGAGTACTCTAAACTGGAAACATCCCAGTGGGCAATTAAATGCTGTCTTCCATTCATCTCCCTCTTTTATTCTCACTCGGTAGTATGCCTCCCTTAAATCAAGTTTGGTAAAGATTTTTTCCCTTCCCTAAATGGGCTAACATGTCCTTCATGAGTGGGAGGGGATAGACATTTTCTACGCAAATGGCGTTCATGTTTCTATAATCAACTACTAATCTGAAGGATCCATCTTTCTTTTCGCGGAACATTACTGGCGCTGCCACCTTGGGTTTGGCTCGTTCGATGAATCCCCGTTCTAAGTTTTTATTGATAAAATTCCACAATTCCCCCAACTCTCGAGGTGTCATGGGGTAAATTTTTGGTTTGGGAAGCTTCACCCCAGGGAGTATTTCAATGGTGCAGTCAGTGGCCCTGTGGGGAGGCAGGGCATCTGATGCTTTTTCGCTAAACACTTCCTTGAGGTCCCAATATTCTTTAGGAATTTTTTCTTCTCCCTCAATATAGTTAATGGCTACTGCCACCCTTTCTGGCCTTATGTCGTCCCTTGGGGGGGGCTTCCTTTTCTGGAGTTGGTTCTGCCATACGGATGCGCAGGACCCCCGTTTTCCAATTTACTCGTGGATTCCATTTACGAAGCCAGGGCAGTCCTAGAATGAGGGGCCTTTCCATGCCAGGTGCTACAATAAAGCTGAGCTTCTCTACATGATTCCCCAACTGAAGTTCAAGGGGTTCGGTCATAAAACTAGCTGGGCCTCCTCCTGCAATCGACCCGTCTAATTGACAAAATGCAATGGGTCTTTTTAAAGTTTTCAGTCTCAGTCCCATTTCCTCCACTACTTTGGGGCTAATTATGCACCTAGTGCACCCCGAGTCCAACAGGGCTAACAATTGCGCGTGAGTTCCTGTGGAGGGCACCCTTACTTCTACGGGGATGAGTAAGGGTTCTTCCGTGTGACTCACCCGTTCGTCGGTGTCAGAGTCGGAGTCCGTCTCGCTGTCGTCATCGTTGGTCGGAGTTCCCAACTCACCCTGGTTCCGGGGAGTGAACTCAACGACTTCTCCTTTCAGGGCGGTGCCGCGGGTTTTGGTGGGTATTTTATCGCCTTTCTTTTGGCTGGCCCCGGTGGCTTTTGGCGGCGGTTTGGAGAAACATTCAGCCGCCCGGTGACCCTCCTTCCCACATTTGAAACAGGTGAAGGGCTTTGACTTGGGTTTGAATTCGGTCTTCCCGCCAGTCATCTTGGCCGCCCCCTTACGGTAGAAAGAGGATGACTGGTCCCCCATCCGCCTTCCTCAGAGTTCGCTCCGTTTCAGCTCGATCTCCACATCCTCAGCTACTATGTACCATCTATCCAAATCATCGGGGACCCCCATGCTCCTGCAGTCTCGATATATCTCTTCATTCAATCCATCTTTGAAACTCTCTAAAAGAGCCATTTCTGACCAGCCTGTCATATAGGGTGCCAGTTCACGAAACTCTTGGATATACTCTGCCACCGGCCTCTGGCCCTGCTGAATGCTCTTCATTCTGAGTCTCGCTTTTTGTTCAGCTAAATGGTCTTCAAAACGCCTTCTAAGGGCCCTCATGAACTGGTTGTAATTTCTCAGCAAGAGGGAGTTGTTATTGTGGAGAACCACCATCCACTCAGCCGCTACTCCCTCTAGGGCATTCGCAACGCTTCTGACTTTAGCCGCCTCTGTTTCGTAGTCCTCCCCCCAATCTTGCATGTGGTTCCACACTTGGGTCAGGAAAAATCCCAAGGCTTTAGGATTCCCATCAAACTTCCCAGGAAGGGGGGGGATTTTTGGCTTTTTACGTCTGTGGGGGAGGGGCCTGCAGGGCTGGGGTTCTCTGGCCGGCTGCATCTCTTCCTCGAGCTGCCGAAGCCTGGGATGTTCCCTCCTCAAACTCTTCCTCTCCCCCGCAGGCTGTCTCTTCGGGCTCCCCCCTGGGGTCTGATTCCCCTTTCTCCACAGGAATTTCAAAAGACTCACAGTTTTTTCTGCTTTCTTCCACATCACGGATAAGCTGCAAGGCTTGGTCTATCATGAGACGTTCCTTCTGCTGTTGCATCCACACTGCCTCCTTTTTACGGGGTCTGGAAGTCGTCACTCCCCGGGGGTTCTCCCCCCAGTCCGGCAGTCTCCCCACTCCTTTGGACCATCTAGCTTCCTCCGGCTCCAAACGGAGTTTTTCCAACCATTCTGCAGTTTCTCTTTCCGACTGGAGGGCGGTTGAACTCGCTGCCCCCATTTTCCCTTCTTCATCACTCCCTCAATCTGACATACTTTGGATTTTCAGTCCCCTCGGTTTTTTGTCTGGGATGACTGGTTGTGACTTCTAGCTTAATGTCAGGTATGCTTCCTTCAGTATTCAGGAAAGAAAAACCCAAACTCAAGCATTTTGAAGAATTTGGTACTTTTACTGAATATGAAATGATTAACAACCCAGGTAAAGCTGGAAGTGAGCAAAACACGCGAAATGCATCTACTAAGCATCTCCCCCCCTTATCCATATATCATCAGCCAATCCAAAGGTCTTCCAAAGGTCAGGTGGCATCACGTCTGGGAGCGTCATTCATCAGGAATGTAGGGCAGTTGGTCAGCCGTCCCCTTTGAAGAATCACTTTCGTTTCTCATGAAGACACATCCTACAAGGAAAAACAAATCTTGCATCTCCCCACCCCTCATCCTATAACTAATCCCTCCCCCGTTTCTTATGGCAGCTGAAGCAGGCAAAAGCTGAGGCTGACAGGATGACTCTCATGTCCTGGATGACCTTGCTAGGAATAAATACTCCTTAAGGAAATTAGATTGTGATCCTGGGTCAAATTATTCGTGTACAGAATATCCATGCATGCAGATTTTGGAGAGCAAAATGGATTACCAAGAAAATCCAAGAGATGAAATGTCCTTCTTGTTAACATTTTTTAGAAATTTTATCACAATCTAAATATGCCTCAAAGGCAAATATAAATGAGGCCAATACTTACATTAGTTAGACATTCTTGTTCCTTACTATATTTTCTCTACAATTCAGATCTGGCCTCAGTAGAATAATGTAGCATTTGGGGAAAAAGATACAAGCCAAGAGAGCAGCCCCAGAGGCCAAAATGGAGAAGATCTCCACAACCACCATAAACTTCCCTTTGGTGCTCAGGTAGGTGGGAAGAAAAGTAATCCAAACATTGCAAAAGACCAGCATGCTAAAAGTAATGAACTTGGCTTCATTAAAGCTATCTGGCAATTTCCTAGCTAGAAATGCCACTGTGAAACTGATAAGGGCCAAAACAGCTAGATAGGCAAGGACAGTGTAAAACATTGAAGCTGAGCCTTCTTTACATTCCAAGATAGCCTCTCCAAACAAGGAGTGGAGGTCCATGTTGGGAAATGGGGGAGAGGTTACCAGCCAGGTGACGCAAAGAATTACTTGTACGAGAGGACAGGCTAAGACAATGGAGTTGGTCAGTGGTTTTCCTAAGAGTTTTCTTGACTTGTTTCCAGGCTTGGTGGCCATGAAGGCCAGAACCACCATGACAGTTTTTGCCAAAATGGAGGAAACCGCCAGTGAAAAGAGAATGGCAAAGGCAGATTGTCGGAAGAGACAAGTGATCTTCCCTGGTTGGCCAATGAAGAGGAAGGAGCAGAGGAAGCAGAGCAAGAGGGAGACCAGGAGGATGTAGGTGAGATCTCGGTTGTTGGCCTTGACAATTGGTGTGTCATGATGTTTATAGAAAATCACCAGGACTGCAGATGTGATCACTGAGAGGAAAAGAGCAAGAAAAACTAAAGTGTATCCCAAGGTGTCTTGATAGGCAAGGAAGTGGATCTTCTTGGCACTGCATTGGTCCTTGTCCTTGTTGGGATATTGGTCCTCTGGACAGCATTCACACTGAGCGGCATCTGAAATCAAAAGTCTTTGTCTAAGGATTTCTTGAGCAACTACCATGAATATTATCCCTCCCGTATAAATGATATGAGTGCTGCCTTTCTGCTGTTGACCTACCCACAAAGGGAAGAATGAAAGAATCCACAGGACAATTTATGGGACATCAAAAAGAGCAAATCAGCCTTCATTTATGATGATCTTGGGGGTAGATGAGCCAGAGACAAGAATCTACTCAGTTCCAGCTGTCCATTAACTGTGCACTTCCATGACTATTGAGGCTTTCAGTTTGAGATTGCTGCCTGTTTTTTTTCCCCATTTTATAATGGAACCCACAGAAGACAGACAGATCTGTTATCCAGGAATTCTGGAGTTTTGTTTGTGTGTACATCATCCTTTAATCTTATAGCCTTAAAGTCTGTGCTTTGTAGGTCAAATCTGTTCATTCCTCCCCCCTGCTCTATCAAAGAGACATAAATAGATGGATCTCCTCTTTCTCTAGTAGGTCTATTTCCTCAGGATTTCACAGAGATGCTGGAAGACACTCACTCTAAAAGATCAAATAAGAGCTTGGACCGCATACCCCACTTCCTCAGGAAAAGACTGAATGTTGGTTTCCCAATTGGAGGTGAAAGTAGAAGCAGAAATGGATGTTGGGGACTCATAAAATGTGCCCTCAAACTATTGTTGCTGAGGGTCAGGAAAGGTTTTCTCAGTGGCCAGGGTAGTTTAGATCTATGAACTGAAAGTACTCCTGAAAAGTGTGAGTGCATGTCAATCTTATCAAAAATGACACAATAACAAAAATATATTGATTTATTGAATGTCTTCCTTGATTAAGATTTAGATTTGGGACTTCCGGTTGGTGACTCGTGGTGTCATGGCGTGGTGAGAGTGACCGCTCTCTCCCACTGCCATTTAACGCAACATTTTGGGGACCGTTCGAGGCGTGGAAGCCTGGAGGGTTTCACGGACAATAGTGGGGCTTCGGTGAGTCGAGTGGCGGAGCGCAAACCCACCCAGCGCGACCGATTTCCACTGTCAAGCTAACGGGGCGCATCTGCCTCTTAATGGCAGACTCGAAGTCACGATAGCCAACAAGAGGGGAAGCAAAGATTCCAGGAAAGAAAGGCGAGTGCACTCGTATCCACTTTCTTCAGAGCACGCCTGAGATCGGCAAAGTTTCGCTGGCTGGGTCGGAGCGGAAGGGCTCATAAGAGGAAAAAAGCGGCGATTGAAAGAGAGGAGGAGGATTGACAGCTAAAAAGATCGCAGACAGGCCGGCAAGAAAGAAGGAGGAAAGATCGACAAGCGGACAGCGGCACTACCTTTTTTGGATTTAATTTGCTGTATAGATCGAGCGCTGAGGACGTGGGGAAGAGATTCTGCTGACTGGAGAGGAGAACGACCGGAAATTTAGGACCGGAAGTGCAACCATACTTAATACCAATGAGAAGAACAACGAAGAGCTAGAGAGGAAAGAAGAAGCACCAGGAAGAGACAAACGGAACAATCAAACTTACTTTTACAAGGTGTTGGAGATCCTGAAGAAGCGAGAAGTAGAAGGGTGATCTAAATTAATGTATTTTCCTGCATAGACTCTAATAAGTGTGGCACTTGAAGGGACTAAGGAGAACTGAATTTATATTTATATTAATACATATTGTTATTAGTTTAAAAATAGTTTAAAATTACAATATATACATATTCATTCTTCTTTCTTTTGTTTTTCTATACATTTAAAGTATCTAAAATATCTACATAAGTATCCAAAATATTTAAAGCACCTATATATTTAAAGTATTAAAAGTAATAATACAACATAGCTAATTAATATATTTAAATATCTGTATAGACATATTAGAATTTACTCTCTTATATTTATCTATTTATTTATATACCTATTTATTTATAATATTTACTTAACTATCTATCTAACTATTTACATATCACTTATTTATTAGATACTTTTTTGTCTTGTTTTTCTATTTTCCATTGCATAGAGTGGCTATTGATTGACTACTGTGTATAACATTACCAAGGATTAATTTTTATAAAATAGTGATTTATTCTATAATATCAATTAATTTAGTGCTTACTGATTGGACACTGAGTATTAATGTATTGATCATATATATTCATATATATTTGTACTGAAGGATTTATTATTATTATTACTTTTTCTTCTGTTTAAGAATTGAGAATCTAATTAATTAACAACCAGGGGTTAAACTAAATAAGAAACACAGTTCCTAAATATCGATTAGTCGACAAAGCTAAGTAGTGGGCAGTATAGCGGAGAAGAGGTCGACTGTACTATCACTACCTGTCTTGTAAACTGGGAATACCCCCCCAAAAATTCTCTTTTTAGTCTTGGTAAATTAAGCAAGGGAAGTGAATTAGTGGATGACTGTTTGGAGTAATATAGAGAGGATAGTCAAAGAACAGGCGAAAGTACTGAGGGAGATGACAAGTTTTGCATCTTGATAGAGGGGCTACCAAAAATCGAGAAATCATCAGTGATTCCAACAATGCAAGCGATGCAGTCGTCATTAGCAATGATTCAAGAGACAATGCTCTTAATGCAAGAGAAAATGTCAAATAACCATCAGGAAATGAAAACAGACATACAAGGCATTGACCAAAAAATGAGTGACATACAACAAGCCATACAAAAGAATGAACAGAGAATACAAAAAATAGAATCCAAGGTGGAACAACAAGAGAAAGATCTAGAGACAGTAGATCAAAAATTAATGGCCCAGAACAGAGACTTGGAGGATTCGATCACGCAGTTGGAAATGGATAGGGCTTCCTTCTACCTGCGTTTCCAAAACGTTACAGAAGACAAGGATGAAAATTTAGGCCAAGTAATGGCTGAATTAATAGCGGAGGTGCTCCAACAGGATACAGACGATATAATAAAAGAATTGGACGAGGTGTACAGAGTACAGACAAACTACGCTAGACGGAATAAACTACCCAGAGAGGTACATATAAGGTTCGCAAGAAAGAAAGTTAAGGATATTTTTTATAAAATGGTAAAAGAAGAACCAATCAATTATAAGGAAAAGGAGGTGGTTGTCCTGAAGCAAGTGCCGAGGAGGGTGAGAGAACAACAAAGAGACTACAGATTCCTTGCCACACAGCTGAACAAAAGGAATATACTTTTCAGATGGACCTTGCCAGAGGGCATGCTGATTACTTGGCAAGGGAGGAGAATTAAAATAAACAGTTTGGTGGAGGCTCAAGAATTCCTTGACCAATTGAGAGGGTCAGAAGATGAACAAAGTAGCAAAGAGGAATTGGAAGCTGTGACCACAGAAGAAGAACTCACCCAAAGAAGATCCCAAGAAGAGGTCCCGACGGGGAAAGAGAGCTCAGAGGAGAAAGAAAAGGAAGAGAAAGAAAGTAGAGAAGCAGGGAAGAAACAAAGACCTCAAAGAGCAGTCTGAGCAAACACCAACCTCAAATTTAAGTAAATTAACATAAGGCAAAAGGATGGATGACTGGAAAATCCTATCGATTAATGTAAATGGACTTAACGATCATAAAAAAAGAAAAACCTTCTTTAACAAATTAGTCACACAAAATGCAGACATAGTCTGTCTTCAGGAGGTACACATTAAACAAGAACACAAAAAATATTTAGAATATAAAAAATTAGGGAATCTTTATACCTCCTTAGCCATGAAGAAAAAGAGAGGGGTGGCATTATATATCAAAAAAGAAATAAAGACAGAACTGAAATATGCAGACCCCAAAGGTAGATTACTAATTGTTGAAATTGAGAGGGGCAATTTGGCAATATTAATAGCAGCGATTTACGCACCAAATAAAAATCTGAAAGAGTTTTTCAACAAAACACGAGAAATAATAAGAGGATTAGATAACAATAATATTTGCATCATTGGGGATTTCAACGGAGTGGTTGACGCGAACAAAGATCACAAAAGACCCAGAGGTCAAAAGAAAAAAAGGAAAAATTTACCAAAAACCTTCTTCAACTTGGTGGATTAACTAAACCTTGTAGATATTTGGCGAACTCTACACCCCAATAAAAGACAATACACATTTTATTCTAACCCCAATAAATCATGGTCTAGAATAGACATGATGTGGATAAGCAGGAACTTGGGTATGTACATTGTATCAGCAGAAATCTTACCCAATACCTGGGCAGACCACAGTCCATTGGAAATCGGATGGAAAAGCAGATATAAGAGAAAGAATACAAGATGGAGAATGAATACACAATTTTTGAGAGACAAAAAAAATATTGACAAAGTCAGGGGAGAGTTAGCAATCTTTTTTGAAGAAAATGAAAAAGAATTGATGGACCGGGGAATAATCTGGGATACGATGAAGGCCTATTTAAGAGGCCTAATGATATCATACGGAGCATATAGAAATAAAGAGAGGAGAGAAGCTCAAAGAACATTGCTAGAAAAACTGGCAAAGGCAGAGAAAGAGGCGCAACAAAACCCTGACAATGAAATAAAAAAAGAAAATTGGATGAATATTCGTCATAAATTAAACATAATAGAACAATAAAAATTAGCATACAATATTAAGAGAACAAAACAATATTATTTCGAGAACGCCAATAAGCCAGGAAGGTGGTTATCCTATAGAATTAAAAAAGAGAGAGAGAAAGGAATTATTCTCCAATTAGAAGACACCAAAGGCCATATCACAACCAAGGAAGAAGAAAAACAGGAAATAGCACGTGAATTCTATGCGTCTTTATATAAAGAAGAAGATATACCCAAAGAGAAAGTAAAACAATATTTATTGGAAGAGGGAATGCCACAGATCGGAGAGGAGGAAAAAGAGATGTTGAACAAAGAGATCACATTAACAGAGTTAAAGATTGCAATTGCCAAATTGAAAAAGAATAAATCTCCGGGCCCGGACGGATTCCCAGGGGAATTATACAAAAATTTAGAATTAGAAGTTATTTTACTCGCAAGAATGCTCCAAATTTTTAATGAGGCCTTAATGAAAAATAAAATAC